TCCGTCGCCTACACTCTGGTAAGCAGGTGAGAGCCCTTTCGGCTATGACGTATTAGTGAGAATGTCCATTGGCAGTTCGCGGGCGAGACCCTATCGGACACAGGTCAGCAGAGTGAGCCTCGCTCAAGTGGCGGCGACGCTGACGGTTACGAGGTCGAGGCCGTGGTATTTCTGGTGGCGGACTTTCGGAAGCGTAGTGGCGCAGCAGGCGGTAGGCGACTTCGCCTTCGTCGGCGCACCGGAGGCAGCGCGCTGAGGTAGATCAGGCGGTCCTCGACGTTTTCGCCGTGCAGCGTCGAGGCGAACTCCAGATCAATCTTGCCGGACTCGTGGCGCGCCTTCACGGTGAGGTGACGGGGCGCGCCTTGGTCCTGGGGGTCTGCCTGGGAAACGATGGCCAGGGTCTCTTCGCCGGCGGCGGCCAGGCGGTCGGTGGCTACCGAGTCCCAACCCGACCTTGCCGCAAAGGCGCGCAGGAAGTCTTCGACCCGCTGAGCAGCGTGATCATCCAGCGTGAGCCGGATGCGGCGGCGCCGGCCGCCGGTCAATTCCATGAAGGTCGCCAAGCCACGGCAACGACAGCGCCGGAGGCCATACCGTTGCCCAGCAGAACACTCCAGAATCCGTCTCCCAACAGGTCAGGGAGGATGACCCCATTTTGGAAGCCCACGCCGATCCAGAAGGACAGGCCGACGACGACGGCCTTGCGGTGGTCCAGGCCGTCGCGGACGACTATCCGCATCCCTGCACGAAGAGCAGCGTGATGAAGACGGTTGTCGACGCGGCCACGACCGGGCTGGGTACGGCAATGAGCAGTGCGGTCAGCTTGGGAAGGAACGCCAGCGCCAACAGGACCACGCCGATCATGGCTCCCACCCGTCGCCGCCGCCATGCCGGTGACCTCCACCAGAGATATGGTTCCCGAATAGGTGGTATTGGGCATAGTACCGGCGAGGCCGGAAAGGAGGTTGCCCAAGCCATCCGCGTTGAGGGCGCCCTGCACCACTCGAAAGTCGGTGGCCCGGGGGCGGCGCTGGGAAACCCGCTGGATGGCGACGCTGTCGCCGATGGTCTCGATTGCGCCCCACGATGGTGACGACGATAAACGCCGGCAGCAGCGCCCAGAACTCGTGACCCGCGTCAAGTCCAGACCTGGCCAGGATCGGAACGGGACCCCGATCCAGGGGGCTTCCAACACATATTGCACGTCGTACATGCCAAAGGGAGCGGCCGCCACGCATCCCGCGACGATGCCGATGACCGGTGACCAGAGCCGCCACTGACGGGTGCCCACGAGGATCAGGCCACGGTCGTGACCAGGTGACCGTGGCCGCCACCATGGGCGCAATACTCGGGCCTCCCCTCGGGCACCTGGGTCAGCATGCCGAACAGAATTGGCATGACGGCGACCGCGACCAGCATGATTACGGTTCCGGAGACGACGGGGGTGAAATCCGGCGCAGCAACGACAGTCGTCGGCGAGTACAAACTGAAACAGTGACGACACGGCGATCAGTGGTAGCCATCAGCGCCGGGCCGGCTTGCACATCGCCGCCACGCAGACCGCATAGAACGTGCCTGAAGTGCCATCACCAGCACGTGGCCGGCTCCGATCTCGCCAGACCCGCACGGCCTGCAGATGGTGGCTCATAGACCGCTGACCAGCAGGGCGGTAAACACCGCCCCAGGCGATGTAGTCGGCGGCTGCGCGGCAATCCGGAACGCGATCACCACGGTCAGCACGGTCCCGCTCATCATGACCAGGGCTCCTGGAAGCCGGCGCCAACCGTCACACCTTTGGGAGGAATTTCCTGCGGTTCGTATCGAACGCTATCGTTTATGGACGCTTCAGCCATGAGTTATACCTCGTGCTTATTTATCGTTAACGACGTATTCCGCCTATCGTATTAGTGTCCTGGCGGACCAGATCCTTTCAACACATACATTGCTCCTGTACGCTGGTGCAGTACGACTTTTGTGTGTTTCCTTATCGCAACGAGCCAAAACTGGGCAAGGCGTGTGAATGGCGTCACGCTGTTCCGGCCACGCTGACCATGACCACATCGAGGCCGTGGTACTTCTGGTGGCGCACTCGAAGAGGCGTAGTGGCGCAGGAGGCGGAAGGACACCTCGCCATCGTCGGGGACCGGGGTAGGGCGCTGAGTAGGTGAGACGGTCCTCGACGTTTTCGCCTTCGAGGGCCGATACGACTCCAGCTCCACGGTGTTGCCTCGCGTCGGGCATCGATGGAGGCGTCGCGTGGCGTCGGGAGGTCCGTCGGGTCCTCCTGGAGAGAATCGTCAGCGTCTCCTCTCCGGCGGCGGCCAGTGCGGTCGGCGGATTCGGCGTTCCATCCACCCGATGCGGAGGCGAAACCGCGCAGGAATTCATCACCCCCTGGGATGCGTCGTCGTCCATCACGATACGCAGGCGGCGAACGTCGGCGGGACTTGCTGACTCGATGAAAGCCATCATCGCAACGGCGACGATCGCGCCGCGGTCATGCCGTTGCCCACAGCACACCCCAAGGAAGCCGTCGCCGAGCAGGTCGGGAAGATCACGCCGTTCTGGAACCCGACGCCGACCCAGAAGGAGACGCGGCGACGGTGGCCTTGCGGTGGTCGAGTCCGTCCTGGATGATGATTCGCATGCCCTGCACGAATAACAGTAGCGATCAGGACGCCAACGTAGGCGGGGCCACCGAGCGGGGATTGCGATGAGCAGCGCCGTCGCCTTGGGGAAGAAGGCCAGGACGATGAAGATGACGCCGACCACGATGCCGACTCGTGCGGGCAGCGATGCCGGTGACCTCGGCGAGGGAGATGCTGGTGGAGTAGGTGTGTGTTGGGCAGAGTCCGCCGGCGAGACCGGAGATGCAGGTTGCCTATGCCGTCGGTGTTGAGGGCTCCCTGGACCACCCGGTAGTCGGTGGCCTGGGGACGGCGGCGTGAAACGCGCTGGATGTCGGACGCCTTCGCCAATGGTCTCGATGGCTCCCACCAAGGTGACCAGGATGAACGCGGGCAAAAGCGCCCAGAATTCGATGGCCTGGCGTGAAGTCTAGCCCGGGCCATGCGCCGAAGGGTATGCCGACCCACGGAGCGTCCTCCACGTATTGCACGTCGTACATGCCAAATGGCGGCCGCAACCGCGCAGCCGACGACGACGCCGACCACGGGCGACCACAACCGCAACGAGGCGGTAGCGCGCAGCACGAAGGCCGCAATGGTGACTATCGTCACGACGACGACCACCGGCGGTGCGGCGGACGGGTGCCTTCAGGTGGCGCTGCCCAGGATGTCAAAACGATGGGCATGACGGTGGCGGCGATCAGCATGATCACGGTGCCGGAGACCACCGGGGTGAACACGCGGCGCAGGACGGAGAGCCGCGCCGCCAGGGCGAACTGATCAGCGCCGATACAACCACGAGACTGGCCATGACGGCCGGCCCACCCTGACAGCGCGGCGACGCATACTGCGAAGAACGCGCCCGAGGTGCCCCATCACCAGGATGTGTCCGGCGCCGATGCGCCAGACGCGGGCGGCCTGGAGGATGGTGGTGGCCCCACTGATGAGCAGCGCGGCGAAGACGCCCCAGGCAAGTAGGTTTTCGGGCTGATCGGCGATGCGGAAAACGACCGCCACGCCCAGCACGATCCCCCCGATGATGACGGCGGCGGCCTGGACGCCGGCGCCGATGGTCAGCAAGTTGGGGGATGCTCGTCCGGCTCGTAGCGGATGTGTGTCGTTAAGTTTGTGTGGTGGCCAAGAGATACTCTCCGAATACAAGTGTGACGTTATCGCCGTCTCAATCGGGATAGTGTGCAATGGTCGGTATTTACTGTATGCGGTTGGGAGTATCTTATCGCGACGGTCAATCACGCAACATCGTTGGGCACGGGATCTCCGCATGCGAGTTGGTCTTGGGCAGGGCCCGATGGTTGGAGAGCGTGCGGCGCGCTTTGCCGGTTCGTTTGCGCGGCACCGTTCGGCGCGCATACAATGGCGCTGCGAAATGACCCGGGAATGTTTGCGTCCGCGTATTGCCGCCGGATACCCAGCGGCGATCAGACGAAAGGGCTCCGGTTTTATGCCAAGCTAACACCAGCCGTAGAAGGCAATGGCCGGCCCGACGCCTCCCTATACAACAACCCACACCACACTGGTAACATAGGCCCCGACGAGCAGGGGGTTCCAACACGTGACCACAAGCGCCAGCACAGGATCGGGTCGCCGCGCTTTTCACAGACGCGCGAGAAGTCCACGACCAAGCCCTGGAACGTCTGCGCCAAGGCGATATCGCGACGCGGCCGAAAAGGCCTGGTGTGCACAAGCGCGCCACTGACGCGCTCATCCTCGCCCTGACCGGCGAGGAGCCCGAAAACGACCGCCATGACCACCGAAGGACTACTCGAGCTAGCCAGTCGAATTCGTGACGCCGAGACCCTGGTGGGACGTTATTTTACCCGGAATAGTTACTGCACGGTTCCTGCTTTTTACAACGGGATGTGGCGGGCCCGCACACCGAAAGACGCATCCTGGAAACGGCCCAGTACATCAGCGACGCAGAGGAACTGTCCAACAGATAACGCGGGAAGCCGGACGGTTCTAAACCTCTTCGTCAAACCCTAAGCACGCACCAAAATCTCTCAGGCGTCGCCGGTTTGCCGGACGGACGCCGACACAATCAGGAGGAGGCGCAAACCATGCCCATCGAAAAGTATCTTCCGCTCTGGATGCCATCATCGACGGTGACGCACCCATTGAAGAACACGGCTCCGGATTCGGTGGCGGCGAGGGGCCGGCCGAAGGACCGCTGTGGTGGAGCGACGGCGGGTATCTGCTGTTCAGCGACATCCACAACAACCGGCGCATGCGCTACACCCCCGGCTCTGGCGTAACCGTGGAAGCCGAGCCGGTGAACCGGCACAACGGGCTGACCCGCGACCAGCAGGGCCGGCTGATCGCCGCGGAGCACGACGGGCGGCGGATCAGCCGCTGGAGGCCGACGGGTCAACCACCGTGCTGGCCAACCAGTTCCAGGGTCGGCAGTTGAACCGGCCCAACGACGTGGTGGTCAGGTCCGACGGGAGCATCTACTTCACCGATCCGTGGACCTTCCGCCGGCCGCGCGAGCAATGGGAGCAGACCATCTCCGGCGTGTACCGCCTGTCGGCCGACCTGGGGACGCTGACCCTGCTGGTGGCTGACTTCGTGGTGCCGAACGGGCTGGCCTTCAATCCGGATGAAACCGTGCTGTACGTCAACGACTCCCGCCGTGGCATCATCCGCACCTTCGACGTGCAGGATGACGGCACGGTGTCGCTGGCCACCCAACGCCTGTTTGCCGACATGCGCGGCGAACGGGAGGGCGTGCCCGACGGATGAAGGTGGACACCGAGGGCAACGTCTACTGCGGCGGCGCGGGCGGTCTGCACATCATGAATGCCGGCGGCGAGACCCTGGGCATCGTGGTGCATGGTCAGCCGGCGACAACGAACCTGTGCTTCGGCGGGGACGACTGGAAGACGCTGTATTTCACCAGCCGGAACACCGTGGGCAGCACGCCGATCAAGGTCGCGGGAATTCCGGTGCCGGCGAAGTAAAACTGAGAACAGAACGGCGGAGTTGCAGTAAGCGCGGCTCCGCCTTCGCGTAAGTGACAGCGCCGAGGCGGTGACGATGGGAACCGGGTGCTAGAATGGTGATATGCCGGAAATCCGCGCATACGCGGACCGCAGGGGCCACATTCCATTTGATGAGTGGATGGATGACCTTTCTCCGCCCGTACGCCTGCGTATCCAGCACATCATCAATCGCATGGAGCAAGGTAACCCAGGGGACAGTCGAAGTGTAGGCGATGGGGTGCTGGAACGGCGAGCGCATTTTGGACCTGGGTACCGGATCTATTATGCCTGGGATAACAGAACGTTAATCGTCTTGTTGGGCGGGGGAGACAAAAGCGACCAGCGCGAGGATATCGCCAGGGCCATCGAACGGTGGAAGGACTACCAAAACCGGTGACGAGGTTGAATCATGCCGAGGTCAATCGACTGGAAAATCGGGGAGCGACGAAGGATCAATCGCGACCCGGAGTACCGTACCCTGACCATCGAGGGAGTGAGGGAACTCCTATCTACCGGCGATGAAGAAGACCGCAGGGTAGCCCACAGCATCGCGCGCGGGCTATTGGAGCTTGAGTTTGACACTGACGTGGAGTTGCTGGAACAGTTGCAGCAACCCATTTCCGCCTGACGCCAAAACGACACAAAAAACACCAGGAGGCAAGACCATGCGCGTAGTACGAATAGCCAATGTGGAGCACGTGCCGCTGGGACCCGCCGAGCCGGTACCCGGCTGGACCGGAGGCGAGGTGCACCGCACCCGTCAGCCGATCATTCCCGAGGGGGAGAGTGACTTTTTCAATGCCAGCGTCGTGAACTTTCAGACGGGAGCCCAGACGGGTTGGCATCGCCACAGCAGCGACCAGATACTGGTGATCACGGTGGGCAACGGCATCGTGGCCAACGAGACCGAGGAGCATCACGTGGGCGTCGGCGACGTGGTCCAGGTGAAGGCCGGCGAGAACCACTGGCACGGCGCGTCGGCGAACGGTTACATGGGGCACATCACCATCACCGCTAGTGACAGCACGGCCAGCCGGTAAATCGGCGAACGAATGGAGCAGGCAGGGGCGAATGATCATTCGCCCCTGCGTCCGAGGGCGAAATTATGGACCTCATAGACGAAATCCTCGACAACGTGAAGACCATTGCAGTGGTCGGCCTGTCGGACAATCCGGCGCGAGACAGCCACGGAGTGTCCAGGTACATGCAGTCGCAGGGGTACCGGATCATTCCGGTGAATCCGGCGCTGAACGGAGCGACCGTGCTGGGCGAACCGGCCTTCGACGACCTGGCTTCGGCATCAGCGGCGGCGCAGGCGGAGGGAGCGGCCATCGACCTGGTGGACGTGTTCCGGCGCAGCGAGTTTGCTGGGGCCGTTACGGATGACGCTGTCACGATTGGAGCGCGCTACGTGTGGATGCAGGACGGGGTGGTAGACCAGGCGGCGGCGCAGAGTGCGCAGGATGCCGGGCTGGGCGTGGTGATGGATGATTGCATCCTGAGGCAGCACAAGCGGCGGCGGGGCGGCTAGCAAGTCTCGCGGCGGCGGCGAGGCCACGTTCTCCCGATGCGTGAGCGGCTGTGATGCAATACGACAACCCATTCCCCGGGATGAATCCGTATTTGGAACGGCGGGACATCTGGCCGGATTTTCACGACGGATTGATTGTACAGCTGCGAGATATTCTCGGACCTCTGCTGCCGGATAACTACCGTATCGCCCTGCACCGGCGTGTTGAGGTTCAAGAGCCATTCGGTTCTGCCCTGGGCTTGAACCTGATGGTGCCCGACGCGCTGGTTACCAGGGAACCGACGGTCACTCCGGTGGGCCCAACCGCAACCGCGGAGGCTGCGACCGCCGTAGCCGCTCCGCCGGAAGAGGCCGGAGGCGTGCGCGTTCGGATGCCCCGGGAGATTCGGGTTGCTTGGCTGCGGGTGGAAACCGTGCCCGACCGGGAACTGGTAACCATCGTTGAGGTTCTGTCGCCTACCAACAAAGCGCCGGGGCGGGAGCGGCTTCGCTATGTCCGCAAGCGTGAGGTGATAGTCGCCAGCGAGCAAGCCTGGTGGAGATCGACCTGCTGCGGCGCTGGGAACCGATGCCGTTGGAGGTGCCGCCGCCGGCCAGCGACTACCGCGTCCTGGTGTGTCGTGGTTGGGAACGTCCCGACGCGTTGCTGTACCCATTCTGGGTAAAGCAAGCCATACCCAAGTTTGCCCTGCCACTGTTGCCGGAGGACGAAGTCGGCCCCGAAGTTGACCTGGGCTCGATCATCAATGCCATGCACCACACGGCGCGGTACGCCCCAAGTGGCGCGGTACGACGAACCTCCGCCGGAACCGGCATTTCCGCCGGAAGCGCAGGAGTGGGTCAGCGGACGGGTAGCGGGACTGTCGTAGTCCTCATGATCGTTCCATCTTCGGCTCGATACGGCGCGCCGGCCGGGCTTTTTCTTGACACTCAAACGGCCCGGCGAGTAGTATGCGGCCATCCGATAAAGGTTATCTGGTACGCGCTTGGATCGTGCGTCGCACGTGCGGTAACCGCCGTTAATCGCTTCTACCAGTGTTGAAACCGTAAAGTCACCCAGGAGGTACACGCCATGCCCACCAACCAGGAAATTGCCCAGATGGCGCACCTGATGCGTCGGGCCGGTTTCGGCGCCTCTTACGCCGAACTGGAACAGCGCGCCGCCCAAGGCTACGAAGCCACCGTCGAAGAACTGCTCAACCCCATTTCGCAGCCTGACCTGGAAATGGACATCCTGGAGCGTCACTTCGTCGACTGGAAGGAAATGAACGCTCTGGAAGTAAACCAGGCGTATCTCACCTACCGGATGATCAACACCAAGCGCCCGCTGCAGGAGAAGGTGGCCCTCTTCTGGCACGGGATCCTCTGCACGGGCAACTCCAAGTGCGAGCATGGCCGGCAGATCCAGTTGCAACTGGACATGTTCCGTGAGCTGGGCATGGGCAACTTCGACATCCTGTTGAAGGGCCTGTCCCGCGACCCGGCGATGGTGTTCTACCTGGACAACTGCATGAGCCACAAGGGCGCCATCAACGAGAACTGGGGCCGTGAGCTGCTGGAGCTGTTCTCCCTTGGAGTCGGCATGGACGGCGAGGCCAACTACTCGGAGGATGACGTCAAGGAAGCGGCCCGAGCCTTCACCGGCTGGACCATCACCAACGCCGTGCCCCGCTATCCCTACGGTCGCTACGAGTCGAACTTCCTCTACAATCCCTACGACCACGATAATCAAGAAAAGACGTTCCTCGGCGAGACGGGCAACCTCAACGGCGACGACATCGTTGAAATCATTGCCCGTCAGCAGTCCGCGGCGCGGTTTGTATCGCGCCACCTGTACAATTTCTTCGTTGCCGATGAAGTGCAGGTGCCGGCCTGGCAGAACACGCCACCACGTGATCCGGAAGCGATCGCGCTGCTGGAGCAGACGTACTTCGACTCCGGCTACAACCTGACCGCCATGCTGCGGGTCATGTTCAACGCGGACTTCTTCAAGAATGCCCGCTTCGAGAAGGTGAAGAGCCCGACCGAGGTGGTGATCGGAACGATGCGGCTGGTGCAGGACTTCACGTCGCCGAAGCTGGGCCTCAACCCGCTGGCCAACACCATCCGCTACATGGGGCAGGACCTGATGAACCCGCCCACGGTGGAGGGCTGGCACACCGGCGCCGAGTGGATCGACTCCGGCACGCTGGTGGAGCGGATCAACTTTGCCGCAGACCAGTTGGGCAACACCAGCCTGCCCGGCGTGCGCGAGATCGTGGCGCGACTGGGCGAAGAGCAGGTGAACACCGCCGAGGGCGTTGTTGACCGGTGTCTTGAGATGGTGGGCGCTTATGAGTTGGCCCCCGAAACGCGGGATCAGCTGGTTGCCTACACCGGCAATAACGGCGACCCGGCCCCGGGAACACCGGAATACTCGGACGCCGTGGCCCAGACGCTGCAGCTGATAGTGAGCACTCAGGAGTACCAGTTCGCCTAACCGTCGTTTGGTTTTGGCTGCCCCGGATCACCGACCGGCGGCTGGGGCAGCCGACTACCGGAGCGAAGGATGCGGAACAAGGAAGCGCGGACGGATGGTCCAGAGCGTAACGCACGGATTGGAATACCCAGCATTCCCGCTAGGGCGATGCCGTGGTATTTGGCCGTATTCGCCGTAATCACCGTCTATCTCGCAGTTTCCAATACGCTGGTACAACTAAACGCGAAAGAAATCACGGGGTGGATGGCCCTCCAGTACGTCGTCACCGGTGAATTGATACGAGCCGGTGCGGCAGCCCTCATCGCATCACCCATCATTACAGAGGTAAGCAGAGTGGTTATCGGCGCAATTTGGTCCGAACGCAGAGAGCGCAAAGCCCGCGAGCAGGGCCGTGCGGAAGGCGAAGCATCTGCGAACCGACGTTGGTCGGAATGGAATCAGAGGCGCAAGGAAGCGGAAGAGCAGGGTATGCCCTTCACTGAACCGGAACCCGCGTCCAGGCGACCTCGACCGACCTAACGACATTTGTTCCACCCTCATCCATTATCTCCAACGCAACAAGGAGAAACACAATGACCGCTACGAAGAAAGATCCGGTGCTGGTGGTGCTCCAGCTCTCCGGCGGCAACGACGCGTTGAACACGCTGGTGCCGCACGGGGACCCGCTGTATTATGACAATCGGCCGTCCGTCCGCGTGCCGGAGGGTCAGGCCCTGGACCTGGATGGGTTCGTCGGGCTCAACCCCAACATGGGCCCGCTCAAGAGGCTGTACGACGAGGGCAAGGTTGCCGTCATCCAGGGCGTGGGATATGCCAATCCCAACCGCAGCCACTTCCGCAGCATGGACATCTGGCACACCTGCGAGCCCGACAAGCAGGGCACCGAAGGCTGGCTGGGCCGCACCATTCGCGATCTTGACCCCAACAAGGAAAACGTGCTTACGGGCGTGAACTTCGGTCGCGGGTTGCCGCGGGCTCTGGCCGCCCCCGGAGTGCCGGTAGCCTCGGTTGGGAACCTTGCCACCTACGGCGTGCTAACCGGCATCGAGGCCGAGGACCAGCGCACCGAGGCACTGGACATCTTCTCCAAGATGTACTCGCCGACGCTAGGTCGAAGCTCGGTGGTGGACTACCTGTCGCAGACGGGCACGGACGCGCTCAAGGGCGCGGACATCCTCAGCACCGCTCCGGAGACGTACAGTTCCAGCGTGGAGTACGGCCAAGACGTGGTCGCGCAGTATATGAAGAACATCGCCCAGGTGCACCTGGCCGGGTTCGGCACGCGCGTCCTCTACACGACCGCTCCGTACAACAGCTTCGACACCCACGCCGGCGAGTTGGCAGCGCACGCCAGTCTTTGGAGCAACACCTCCAACGCCATCGCCGACTTCATGGACGACCTGCGTGAGCATGAAGCCAGCGACAATGTAACGCTGCTGGTCTTCACCGAGTTTGGGCGCCGCGTGCACGACAACGGCTCCGGCACCGACCACGGCAGCGGCGGCGTCGCCTTCGTGGTGGGCGACAACGTGCAGGGCGGGTTGTACGGCCAGTATCCGTCGCTGGCAGAGGACAAGCTCCTGGAAGGCGACCTCCATTTCAACACCGACTTCCGCAGCATCTATATGGACCTGCTGGAGAACTGGATGGGTCTGGATGCGCAGCCGCTGGTGAACGGGACCTTCGAGAAGTTGAACTTCATCTAGCCGATGCGCCGGGGCGGATGACCATTCGCCCCGGCCGGCCGCAAAACCCGTACCAGCAGCAACGGAGGAATGTCTTATGACCACAACCATCGACCCCAGGGCCCTGCCGTCTGTCGGGATCTCCCTGCAGTACAGCCACTCCATTGGCCGGGCCGAGTTCTCGGGCCCGGGGTTTCGCAACCCCACCGCCATGGCCCGTGGCGAAGAAGACGTGATGTACGTCGCCAACCGTTCCTACGACTACCGGCCCGACGGGAAGCGCATCACCATGTGCACCGTGGGCGAGGAGTTCATCAGCGAGTTCGCCAAGGGCGTTTTCGAGCAGGGCGATGGCGATTCCGTGTCCACCGACGGGGCCATCATCTGGCCCACCGCGATCACCGTGGGTCCCAACGGCAACGTGTACCTGGCGGACGAGTACCTGGACCGTATCAGCATCTACTCCCCGGACGGCGAATACCTCACCAAGTGGGAGCGGCCGGGCGACGGCGACGGCCAGTGGAACAAGCCCAGCGGACTGGTCTTCGGCGCCAACGGCACCCTGTACCTGGTTGACTGCAACAACCACCGCGTGCAGATGCTCACCGCCGACGGCGAGTACATTGGCCAGTGGGGCGAGCTTGGCGACGGCCCCGGCCAGTTCAACATGCCCTCGGCGTGGAAGTGGACCGGGATGGGAACGTCTACGTTGCCGACTGGCGCAATGATCGCATCCAGAAGTTCACCGCCGACGGCAGGTTCCTGATGCAGTTCGGCGCCACGGGCGACGGCCCGGGACAGTTCAATCGCCCGACCGATGTGGCGGTGGACAACGAGGGTGCGATCTACGTGGCCGACTGGAACAACGACCGGATGCAGGCCTTCCACCCGGACGGCTCCTTCGCCGGTATGACGTACGGCGAGGGCACCATCTCCCAATGGGGCATGGGCAAGCTGGAAGCAACCCGAAATGTGGGAGGAGCGCAGGATTCCCAGGGCCTGGATCGCGAGAAGCTGTTCTGGGGGCCTATTGCCGTGGAGTGCGACGACGAGGGTCGCATCTTCGTGGTGGAGACGGCGCGCTCACGCATCCAGGTCTTCCACAAGCTGGACTCCCTTTTCTATGGAGTCAATGAGCGAGTATCCGGTGGGGGCGGACGCCTCTAACCCGACCATCGTGGCGCCATGAGTGGGGGAGGATTCACAACCTCTCCCACAAGGGTGTTTCGGGTCGCGCAACGCCGGGACGCGTCCCGGCGTTACGCGACGGGTTTTCCCGGCTCGCGCGCGCCGCGAACTGTTGCGGCGGTGGTGATTAGTGGCCACGCAACCTTCGGACGCCATCAGGCGCGCGGTGATATACTGGCTCATCAATACGATTTTTCGAGTTCAATATTGTGACTACTCAGGAACATCTCGTCGCACGTTTGAAGCCGCTGGGGATCAGGTTGACCCCCCAACGCCTCGCCATTGCCGAAGTGGTGGTCAACTCAGCGGACCATCCCACGGTGCGCGACATTTTCGAGAGGGTGCGTGATTTCTTCCCGTACGTGACGCTGGCAACGGTGTATTCGACGCTGGCGCTGCTGGAGCGGGCTGGCATCGTGCGGGAGTTGCCGTTCCAGAAGCAGTCCCGTTATGACGCCAACCTGTCGCCCCATGCCAACCTGGTGTGCCTGGGCTGCGGCGCGGTGGTGGATGCGGAAGTCGGCCAGGAAGGCGTGGCCGACCTGGAACGGGCGGTCGGCGAGAACACGGATTTTCACATCTCCTCGCAACGAGTTGATTTTTACGGCTATTGCGAAGGCTGCGCCCGGGACAACTAGCCGGCAGCCCTCGGCACGAAAGCGTGGTTCACCGTGGTCGTCTACAACATCAGCTATGGAGAGCCGCAGCGCCGGTTCGATTTTCGGAAACTGCTGATAGTTCTCGGCATTCTGCTGGCGCTGATCCTCCTGGCGGCGGCGGCTTACGGCATTTACTGGCTGTTCACCGACGAGGATGGGATTGACCTGGCGGCGCCATCGGTTCTGGGCGCTGAAGCGTCCGATGCAGTTGCGGCAACACCGTTGAACGAGATATTACCGGGCCCTGTGTCCAAGACAATACAATACGGTATTCCTGGTGGACGTGAGCAAGAAGCATTGAGGACGGGGGAAACCTCCCGATCGTCAAGCAAGCGCTGCTGGATGTGGTGTTGCCCTACGTGGACCCGTCTCAAGGGCGGCCCGCCGAGAACAGCAACGCGGCGCTGATGACCTTACCGACGAACGGATCCCCTGGTGCCGATGGCGTCTTTTGACGAGACGGAGGGCGCGAAGGCGAATGGTTGAACGCGGTAAACGAGATGGCCACGCAGGATCGGCCGGCGTACATCTACGATGCCGTTAAAGATGCCCACCTGATGCTGCGGGTGGACGAGAAGACGAAAACCCGAGAGCCAACGTGATGTGCTGTGACCGATGGATCGGACGGCGGGTCAAGGTGATTGACCCGGCGAGTGCGACGCCGTGTCCTGATGGGATGGGGGCTCCGGGACAGGTGTGCAGCAGGACGTCGGATGCGGGCGGCAACGATGCGGCGTATACACCTTCGATCCTGCAGATCTGGACCCGTGTCCGGCGGGACTGGCAGTTGCTCCGGGGAGAGCTGCGTGGAGTCGTCCAGCGAGACCACACAGAATGAACTGCTGAGGCTGTTGGGAACGGAAGACAAGGTACCCAACATGTTGGTCCATACCATAGGGTTTGGCCAGGAGGCGGACCAGACGCTGCTGAAGCTACTGGCCAAAGCGGGCAAGATCGAAGGCCGCTACGTCTACGCCGATCACTAGGCGGTCAGGGATCGCCCATTGGCCCGTATCACGCGGCTAAGCCTCGTCAACTACCGCAATTTCCGCGAAGTCGACATCGCGCCGCCGGCGGGGGTGTCGGTGTTTCACGGCGGCAACGCTCAGGGGAAGACCTCCCTGCTTGAGGCGGCTTACACGCTGGCCGTGGGCCGGTCCTTCCGCACTGAACGCGAGCGGCAGGTGCTCAACTTCGACGCCGCGCGGGACGGCGGGGCAGCCTACATCACGGGAACGGCATGTGTCGACGGCAAATCGCTCACCGTGGTGATCGGCTACCAACCGACGGGCGCGAGAGTCCGGTGCGAGTGGAGGTAGTGACGCGGCGAGTCCAGGTCCGGCGACGCTTGCCGCCGGTACCAAGCAGATACGGATCAACCGCCAACCTGCCACGGCGGCCGGCCTGGTTGGCCGGATCGCAGCGTCCCTTTTTTCCGTGGACGACCTGGAGTTGGTACTGGGTTCACCATCGCACCGCCGGCGTTACCTGGACGTGCTGATCTGCCAGGCGGACCGGTCCTATCTACAGGCGTTGCAAACGCTTCCAGGCCGCCTTGCGGAACCGCAACGGCCTGCTGCGACGCCGGAGGGACGGACACGGTCGACCCGGAAGAGCTGCAGTATTGGGACGAGCACTTGTCCAGTCGGGGGCTGTGGTAACCTTCGGGGCGATCCGAGGCGCTGGCACGGCTGTCCGTTTTCCGCCCGTCGCCAGCATGGCGAATTGGGAGAGACCGGAACAGGACCTGGCGCTGGAGTATCTGCCCAGCGTACCCCCCGGCGAGTACCGTCGAGGATATATCGCCTCGGCGTTCCAGCGGGAGTTGCAGCGGGTCTCGGCGCGGGAGCAGGCCACCGCGATCACGGCGGTGGGCCGCAACCGCGACAACATTTGCGACCTCTGTCAACGGCCTGGATGCCGCCTCCCTTTGCGTCCCGGGGCGAGGCTCGAACCATCGCGCGCGTTGCGCTGGCGGAGGCCGAGTACCTGGCCGAGGTTCGCGGGGATGACCCGGTCATCGACTGGACGACGTTGTTTTCGGAAATGACGACCGGCGGCGGGAGAGGGTCTTGCAAAAGGTCGCCCGTATCGTCAGACTCTGGTCACCACCACCGACGTCGGACCGGTTCGCGAAGCGTTGGGACAATAGCGCCGCGTACTTCAGCGTGGCCGACGGCGCGGTGACCCCGCGAGACGAGTTCCGAATGACCAGCGTTGATCCGTTGCCGAGGCAGCAGCCATCCTCGCCGACGCCGAGTATGCCGTCGCCCTGACCGGAGCCGGCCTCATCGTGTGGAGAGCGGCATACCGTCGTTTTCGCTGGGGCCGGACGGCCTGTGGACCAAGTACGGGCAGCCGAGCAATTTGTCATATGGTGTGTTCTCCCGGGACCCGCAGGACTGGTGGGAGCAGAGGCTGAGCGATGAGGTGACGCCGGGCAACCCGACCTACGATCTCAAGGACGCGGTGGACAACGCCGAGCCCAACCCCGGTCACGTTGCCATCGCGCAACTGGAGGACGCGGGCATCATCAGGGCGGTGATCACGCAGAACGTGGACGACCTGCACGGAAGAGCAGGCAGCCTCCACCTGCTGGAAATCCATGGCAACCGCAACTACCTACGCTGCATCGGGTGCGGGTGGCGACGGCCACGGGCGGAGCACGCCATCACCGACGTTCCACCGGTGTGCGTAGAATGCGGCGGGATCATCAAGCTGGACACGGTGATGTTCGGCGAACCAATTCCGCGGGCGGTGCTGGATGCCTGTTTCGCGGAGACGCAACGCTGCGACGCGATGCTGCTGGTGGGAACGTCAGGGGCGGTGAACCCGGCCGCGCAACTGCCGTTGCTGGCCCGCGAGCGGGGCGCGTCGATAATCGAGGTCAACCCCGAGCCAACCCAGCTGACAGCGGCCGCGCACGTTGTAGTGACCGGACCGTCCGGTGATATGCTGCCGCGAATCGTGCAGGCGCTTCGCTCCGGTGAATATCGGTCAAACTGAAATGGGTGAATACCTCCGAAATTTGTGGCAGGCCGTAACCGAATGGGCCATCGCGGCCAGCACCGTGTGGACGGACCTATTGATCGCCGCGGTCATCATGTTGGCCGCGATTGCCATAGCCGTGCTGTTCAGCCGAATTATATTCCGGCGGGTGCTGCGGCTGTTCATCTGGTTCGGTCCCGATTTTGACGTCCGGATGATCGGTGCGACACGAGCACCCATTGCAGCCATAATAATTTTGATGGGAGTGTATCTGGCGCTGAGTACCCTCTCGTTGTCGAGCGCCGTTCATGATGTGGTGAACAAAGCCACCGCAATCCTGGCCATCCTGATTGGCTCCATGTTGGTCAACTCCGTCGCGTCCGTAGCCTTGCAGTGGATGCAAGTCCGGTTGTCCCACAGCGATGCGGCTGACACGAGCAGCTGGGCGCTGCCTCTTGCCCGGCGCGGCATCATGATTGCGGTTTTAACCATGTCGGCCATGCTGTCCCTGGATGTTCTGGGCGTCAACGTCACCCCACTGGTTGCCGGCCTCGGCCTCGGCGGCCTGGCGGTGGCGTTGGCGCTGCAGCCCACTCTCAGCAACCTTTTCGCCGGCACTTACGTAATAACCGAGGGCGTCGTCAGTGTCGGCGACTACATCGAAATGGAGGACGGTGTGACGGGATACGTGGTGGACGTAAATTGGCGCAGTACCCGTCTCCGGACCTGGACCAACAACCTGGTAATCATACCCAACTCCCGTTTCGCCGAAACAATCATCACCAACTACAACAAGCCGGATGAGCCCGTCAACGTGTACCTGACCTGCGGCGTGGCCTACGAGAGCGACCTGCATCGCGTCGAGCAGGTGAGCCATGAGGTGATGGACCGGGTGCTGGCCGAGCATCCGGGAGCGGTGCGGGATTACGGGGCCTATTTTGGCTATGCGACGTTCGGGGAGAGCAACGTGGACTTCTGGCTGTTCGTGCAGGCGAAGGATCGGCTGGCGAGTTTTGAAGTGCGCAGCGAGCTGATCAAGCAGGTGCACGCTCAGCTGGCCGCGGAGGGGATCACGATCAACTATCCGGTGCGGACGTTGCACTTCCCGGATGGGTGGAACCCTCAGGATGGAATGCCAGTGTCGCCCGGCGCAGCGGCCGTGCGGGCGCCTGCCATTTCACATACCCGCGCCGACCTGGCTGTTGACACACCGGGCGGCGGGGACGGGCCGGACGTTTAGGCAAGAGCGACGCGGCGATCCCGTTCGGGTAGGGGCGAATGCCGCTCCGTCGAGATTGCCGCGCTGCGCTCGCAATGACAGGTGGATGAAGGCGGATGCCTGGTCCCAACGCGATGCCTGGTCCCAACGCAACGTAGGATCAGGCATCGAAACTGCGCTAGCGGGACAGGCCGTAGGCGGTGGCCTGGAGTTTGGCGTCGCCGGTGGAGTTGAGGCGCTGGGTGATGCTGTCGATCAGAGCGCCGACGGCGGTTTCGCCCCAGAACCAGGTGTGGATGTCGGTTTCGCTGACGTCGGGGCGCTGGGCCATGCGGGCCTCGTAGCAGAAGGCCTTGAGGTCATCGGCGCAGTAGCGAACGAACTGGGGAACGGACACGTCGGCGGGGCGCTCGTCCATGTCGGCGTCGTCGCGCTCGGCGTAGGCTCCAGGAAGCGGATGATGCCGCGGAACGCGTCGCTGGGGGATGCCGGTGACGCCCACGGCGGTGCGGCCGCGCTGTTCCTGCCAGCGCTCGTAATAGCCGCGCAGGGCGGTGATCTCGTCGGCCGCGTCGAGGGGCTTGACGGAGTCACCGTTGGTTGACGCGGCTACCTCAGAGGCCTGGGGAAGACCGATGGGGCCGGCGTCTTCCGGATAGTCGGCCAGGACCGGGCCGGAGTCCGCGTCCAGCGTGGCCAACGCCGCGGCGAGGACCTCGTGCTGGAAATCGGGGTCGTTGGGTTTGCCCATGGTGTAGCCGAAGTAGAAGGGCACCCACAGGGCACGGGGCGGGCGGACGCGCTCAGCGTGTTCACGGACGAGGGCAACGGCCACAGTGGTCAGGCCGGCTTCTTCAAAGACCCTGGCAAGCACGCTCACGGCGTGGGTGCAGAGGGGTCAAGTAGGGGTCAGCAGGACGAGGTCGACGCCCTCCGCCTTGAGACGCTGGGCGACCTCGGGTCCGGTCTGCTCGGCGACGACAGTGCAGTCGCGGAGGGCGCCCATGAACGAGTAGTGATTGGGGGCGACGGATCCGATAACGCCGCGCTCTGCCAACTCCCGCACCCGGTCCATGGGGAAAGTGATGTTGATGTCACGGTAGATGGCGGTGCGGTCGAACCCGATGCTGAAGTGGCTCTGGACGATGTCCGCCGGGTCGGAGTCGCTGGGGATGACCCGATAGGTGGACTCGCCGCCGGGATGGTCGCGGTTGAAAGGCTTGTCGTCGCGCAGGTGGAGGCCGGCGGTGGTGACGATGGCGGCGGTGCTTGCGACAACGGCTTGGACAGCGGCGACCAGGGAGTGCTGTCGGCTTCCATGCAGGGGAAGAACTGCAGCATCTGGCGCTGGACTTCGGACAGGACTGACAGGCGGGGCATAGCTACCTCTCTTCAACCGAGCAATGACAATACCCGGTGGACGAAGTCGTGAACGCGGCGACGTAGAACATCCAGTTCGTAGTCACCTATATCATCGTGATAGAAGTTGCGATGGAACCTTTCGGCGTGGGCAAACCCGTATTCTACGGAAGGGTCATGGTGTTCGTCGGATAGCAGTTCTGCGGCGTCCCTGAATGAGTTGTGACTGGCAAGGCGCTGGCCGCGCTGCAGGGCAACCGCCATCAAAGAGTGGGCTGCTGCACCCCACAACTTTTCGGATGCCTGCAAGCGATCTCCAGAGGCAAATTCGCGGTCGGATGCAGCTAAAAAAGCTAGAGCCGTCCTAGAATGATCCTCCGTCAACATACCATAGCCAGGAGGCAACGGATGTAGTCACGGGCTTTGGCGCCGTCGTAGGCCAAGGCCCGAAGCTCCATGAAGTCTGTTTGGGCGTTGTCACGGAAGTTTTCAGCGTAGATATACGTCAAGGAGATAAGTTCGTCACTTTCTTCCTCGGACAGCTGTTCAACCACCGTTCTCAGGGACCGTCGGCCGCCGTCACAAGGCCAGCCGCGATGGGCTGCTATCGCCATGATCGCGTGGACGGTTGCTTTCCAGAGGGTTGCGGAAGCCGGCAGATGTTTCCGGTCCGCGAAATGCCGGTCCGACTCGGCCAGCAAGCCCCAAGCAGCAGCGACGTGGTCCGATGCCGTGATGGACGTTGCTTCCGTAGCCATGAGGAGCGCCAAGTGTCGGGCGTTGCAGGGGCGAATAATCATTCGCCCCCGCATGGAACCGATTAGTCGAACATGATGGCGCCGCGGCCGATTTCTCCACGGTCGAGGTCGGCGTAGGCCTCGTTGATCTGGTCGAGGGTGTAGTGGCGGACGACCAGGTCGTCGAGGTTGAGCTTGCCGGATTGGTACAGGTCGACCATGACCGGCATGTCGGTGCGGGATCGGGCGGAACCGTAGTAGGAGCCGCGCAGGGTCTTCTCGTTGCGGACGAGGTCGACGGCGTTGATGCTTGCCTCCTGGCCCCAGGGCGCGATCCCAACCACCGTGACGATGCCGCGCTTGGCGGCCATATCGTAGGCGGCCTTGGTGGTGTCGCCGCTGCCGAAGACCTCGAAGGTGTAGTCGGCGCCGCGACCGCCGGTGAGATCCTTGACCTGGCGAACCGGGTCCTGGTCGGCGGCGTTGACGGTGTGGGTCGCGCCAAAGCGCATGGCGAACTCGAGCTGGGCCTCGCGGATGTCCACGGCGATGATCTGGCCGGCGTTGGCTAGGGCCGCGCCCATGATGACGCTGAGGCCCACGCCGCCGCAGCCGATGACGGCGACGGTGCTGCCGGGCTTGATCTCGGCGCTGTAGATGGCCGCGCCGACGCCGGTGGTGACGGAGCAGCCGATCATGGCAGCCTTGTCCATGGGGATGGAGTCAGCGAGAGGCACCACGCCAGTTTCGGGAACGACGGCGTACTCGGCGAAGCAGGCCACCTTGCCCATGTGGTGGACGTCCTTGCCGTCGGCGTGGAGGCGGGTGGTGCCGTCGAGCATGTTGGCGCCGGTGGCCGCGTGGAGATCACAGAGGTTGCTGTGGCCCTCGAGGCAGGAGCGGCAGCGGCCGCAGGCGGGCACGAAGGACAGGATGACCTGGTCGCCCTCGCTGGCCAGGGTGACGCCAGGGCCGGTCTGGACGACGGTGCCGGCGCCCTCGTGTCCGAGGACGACGGGGATGGCGATGGGGGCGTCGCCGTGCATGAAGTGGCGGTCGCTGCGGCAGATGCCGGCGGAACCGACTTTCACCAAAACCTCGCCGGCCTTCGGCTCATCGAGATCGACCTCACGAATATCGAGAGGCTGACCAACTTCCCACATAACGGCAGCTTTTACCTTCATAACAATACGTTTTTCTCCTCAATTTTGCGACCAATTATATAACGTTTCTTGGCCCGGCGAACCATCCCTTTCCGGTGGGAACGCCTTGCGTCAGAGCCGTGGAGAAGCCCGGGAAAAGGCCCCAAGGTATCTCTCCTGGGCCTTTTCGGCCGGGAACGGCCGCAGGGGCCGCCGTGGCTAAAGCGTGTTGACTTCTCAGGGCAGGGGCCGTTAACCTGCCGCCGCCGGAGAGGACTGCTCCGGCGGCTATCAGGCCAAACCTTTCAAGGAGGTCTAACCTGCTATGGCGGATGATATCACCGCCGATCCATCGGCTTGCGTCGCCCGCACCATTTACAACCGCCCCTGCGACATCCCCGTCTATCCTGGCGACGACGTCTGCGAAGCGCACGCCATCGCCCGCACCGAACATGAGAATTGGTGGGACTGGGACGACCAGGACGCGGCTGAGAATTTCAGACGCCAAGAGCTTCTCGAGCTTCGCAATGCCTTGCTCGGCGTCGGCGTCCCCATCGATACTGACCAGCCGCCGGTGCTCCGCCTTACGGACGAGGAGTACAGCGTCCGGAGCGGATCTCGCGGAGGGCTCCGCTACTCGGTGGCCTTCGACCCACAGCCGGACGGAACGGCGATCTACGAGTGCGGCTGCCGCGGCTGGTTTATTAACCGGCGCTGCAGCCATATCGACCAAGTAATCGACTTCATCGGTCCCGACGCCCTCCCACAAAGGCTGCCCGAATGGGCCGAGGAGAGAGGGCAGTGCTCAGCGCTCACCGCGCGCGGAACCCAATGTCGCAACACGGCTATCGACGGTGTGGCCTACTGCGGTCTCCACCTGCCCGAGGTCGAGGCGCCACCGGAGCCAGAACCGGAGAGAGTGGTCGTCAGCGGTCACACCACAGATTCTCAGCCGGAGATTGATGAGAAACCTCAGACGGTAGCTAAGCGCACTCCCTGGTGGCGCCGTTGGTGGATGGTCATCGTCTGGATCATCCTGGTCATCATTGTCGTTAACGCAATCGGCCAAGCCCTCTAAGGAGCACGTCATGAAAAATGCCGCCGATAATCAGTACCAGCAGGGCAGGTTCTCTCGCTGATCCTGCAGGCCGGCTATCTCGAATTGGGCGGTCATCTCGGTACCGTCGTAGTTGGCGACGCGGATGACCCCGTTATTGGCATCGAGCAAGTCGTGGGCGAAGAGACGGCCGTTATTCATGAACACCGCCTCGTTGTTGGCCGACTCGTTGCCGGAGCGGGTCTGCGGCGGCTGATCATCGACCTTGTAGGTCACCTCGATCCGATCAGTACGGACTTTGTCGGCTAGGAACCGGCCGCCCCAATGGACCATTGCGTCGAGCTCCCGCTCGTCGCTGGAGCATCGAAGCACCAAGATCGGGCGGTCGTAAAGGGACGCATGAGGATCGGCCCCGACTATCTGGCCTACCGTTGATACCAATTGCCGAGTGACGCCGGTGACCGGATCAGGGTCGGTGAGCTTATAACTCCAGGGAGACAGCGGGACCGTGGGAGCAGGAACGGCCGTGGGCGTGGGCGGCACTGCAGGCGCAGACGCGGTGGGGGAGCATCCCAGGGCAGTGGCCACCAGGAAGACGCCAACGGCGCAGAGGAGCGTGGTATATTTCCACATGCAGTGAGACCTCCGAAACAGGTTTCGCTGAAAAGCCGCCCGGTGATCTCGATCCCACTGGCGGCGCGACTGTAGCACGGCGTTGCTCTGGCGGGCAACTGGAGTACGAATGGGCGACGTGATCAAGATCGACATCCCGGCGGGCTACGCGGCTGATAGCGAAAGGTTCCCGCTGGGACCGCAGCCACCCGGGTCGTATTGACGATCTGGGAGGTCGAAGGGCATCCGGCGTGGGCACTCGAGGTGCTGGTGGCCCTGACGCCTTGGCAGCGCGAGCAGCAGGATTAGGCGGTTTGCACGTTGGCGGCGGCGTGGAGGCCGAGTTCCTCCACGGACTGTTCGCGCATGAGGAACTTCTGGACTTTGCCGGTGACGGTCATGGGGAATTCGTCGGTGAGCTTGACGTAGCGGGGGACCTTGTAGTGGGCGATCCTGCCACGGCAGAAGTCGCGGATTGATTCTTCGGTGACGTCGGCATCGGGCTTGAGGCGGACCCAGGCCATGACTTCCTCGCCGAACCGCTGGTCGGGCACGCCGATAACCTGCACATCGTCGATCTCCGGGTGGGTGTACAGGAATTCCTCGATCTCGCGGGGGTAGACGTTCTCACCGCCACGGATGATCATGTCCTTGAGGCGGCCGGTGATCTTGTAATAGCCGTCCTCATCGACGGTGGCGAGGTCGCCGGTGTGCAGCCAGCCGGCGGCGTCGATGGCGTCGGCGGTAGCCTCGGGCATGTTGAAGTAGCCCTTCATCACCATGCTGCTGCGGGTCTGGAGCTCGCCCTGCTGGCCGATCTCCACCAGCTGATTGCTGTCGGGATCAACCAGGCGAACCTCCACATTGGGCAGGACCTTGCCCACGGTGGAGACGCGGCGCTCGATGCTGTCGTCGGCGAGGGTCTGGGTGACGACCGGGGAAGCCTCGGTCTGGCCGTAGGCGATGGTGATGCGGTCCGCGCCCATGCGGTCGATGACCTCACGCATCACCTCGATAGGGCACGGAGAACCGGCCATGATGCCGGTGCGCAGGGAGGCGAGGTCGAAGTCGGCGAAGTCGGGGTGTCCCAATTGGGCGATGAACATGGTGGGCACACCGTGGACGGCGGTGCAGCGCTCGGTGGATATGGCGCGCAGGGTCTGGAGGGGATCGAAGTGCTCGGCGGGGATGACCATGGTGGAGCCGTGCACGACGGAGTTGAGGCTGCCCATGACGCATCCGAAGCAGTGATAGAAGGGCACCGGAATGCAGAGGCGGTCGCGCTCGTCCATCTCCATGGCGTCGCCGACGTACAGGGCGTTGGCGACCAGGTTGTGGTGGGTGAGCATCGCGCCCTTGGGGTTGCCGGTGGTGCCGGAGGTGTACTGGATATTGATGACATCGTCCGGGTCGCACTGGGACTGGCGGGCCCGGAGGTCCGCGTCGCCGGCCTGGCCGGCGCGGTCGAGCAGATCGCTCCAGCGCCACATGCCAGAGGGTGTGGCAGCCGAAGGATCATCGTGGGGCGGGATGAATATCGCGTGGCGCAGGTGAGGGAAGCGGGCGGAGATTGATGTCGCCGGGCGCGGTATCGGCCAGCTCTGGGACGAGTTCGTTGACCATGCCCGCGTAGTCGGAGGAGCGGAACCGGCCGATCAGGATGAGGGCGCCAATCTGCGCTGTTCGAGGACATAGGCCAGTTCATGAGTGCGGTAGGCCGGGTTGACGGTGACCAGCACGGCGCCGATCTTGGCGGTGGCGAACTGGGCGAGCACCCACTCGGTGTAGTTGGTGGCCCAGATGCCGACATGCTCGCCCTTCGCGATGCCGATGGACAGGAGGCCGCGGGCCACGCGTTCCACCTCGGCATGAAACTCGCGGTAGTTGAACCGTGCGCCGGTGGCAGTGTGGACCAGGGCGTCGCGGTCGGGGAAGCGGTCGGTCTGCTGGTCAAGGATGTCGCCGATGGGGAGGCGGGTATCGATGCTATCAGCCACGGCAGCACCTCCTGAGAAGGTTTATGGATGTTCAGTTCGAAGCGAGCTGTGCGAGTCCGTATGATGGACCACAACAAGGCTATTGTATCCTTTTGCCACTACGCCGAGCAGCTATATGCGATGAATTCGTGGCCTGGTGCAGCCAAGACGGAAGGGTTCTGCCACCGTGCGTCGCGGCGGAACTGCCGGTTCCAGGGTTGCTGAACCACCAGTGTTGCGCGCTTAGTGAGCCAACACAAAAGGGCAGCACGGCGCACCATGCTGCCCAGTCCAGCGCAAACGGTTTTCCAGAGTTACGGTTCGGCAGCAGGCTTGGCCTGCGGAGGCATCTTGCCGCCGGGGGGTTTGTTTGGAGCCCACACCTTGGGGGATGCCAGGCGTGGGGCGGTGCCTTCGATCAGTCTGACGCGCCGGCCGCGGATTTCAGGTTGTTTGTTGTCAGTTGGCATGATCTTCCTCTACTTAGATACTGCCTCTCAGCAACCTGTTTTCACCATATCATAGACTGTTGTGGCAGTCCATCCTTGAGCAGAACGTGAGTGTCTAAATGATCAGGGTTGTAGAAGTAAGAATATATTAGAACAGTTTCAACATCTCTGGATATGATGAACTCACAAGGTTCGTTATGGTACTCTCCCGGCTCAATAACCAACTCATTGGGCCCCAGGCGATGAAACGCTTCATCCAACACTGGCCAGTCGATATCCGTATGCTTTTCGGAGTTGAAGGCTGCCTCGTAAAGGGCCTCGATATATTCGTCGTTCAAGGGCTGGATCTGGTGCAGCCTGAAGAAACTTTCACGTATTTCCACCCTGACCTTGGAGCTATTATGCAAGGTGGCGGTTACGGCGACGTGAACATACTGCGTGCCGACGGTGCGGTGCGTGGCCGATTGGGTAACCGTCAAGTGCGGCTCGAAGTCGCGGAATAGTTGCAGCTTCCGGTAAGCGAATACTCCGCCGGCGACGATGATGACGGCGGCGGCAGACAGTTGGACGATGCCAACGATGTCGCTAATCCTTCCGATGTCAGCGTTGGTGCGGTCGGGGTCGGTCAGCCATAGGTTGAGCAGAAAGACAATAGCAACAACCGCCGTGATCGCGGCCACGACAACCAGCAGATCGCGTGCCAAGCGGCGAAACCGGCGGAACCGACTGTTGAATGCGTCCATGCCAACCATTGGTCCGGCGCGATTGCGCAGCGGGTGACGATTGTAGCATCGCCGCTGGAAACCAGCACAAAAACGCGCGAAATTGCGCGCCGGGTTTTTGACACTGGGGGCGGTTCGGGGTAGCATATTCTCGCAGTATTTCTGCTCATATTTGATGGCGCCGGCGGCCTTGTGATTGTGCAACCTAATGCCTTCGTCTAACCAGACTGCCACCGGCCACGTGTTATCGATCTGATGCGCTGGAAGGCGGCTGGCGACTGCTGCGGCCACGCGCTTGCACTCCGTTTCCTGGGAGAAATACCTTGACTAGCCCTACCGCTAATACCGCCGACCGGCCCGATGCCAAGTCGCCGCTGTCCGGACCCGAAATTGTCCCTGATTTTGAGGCGGCGCTGACGCGGCTGTGCGCGATAGCGCGGAGAGGCCAGCGTGTGGACAGCCCTTTATACAATCCGTCGGAAGAGTGGATTGTCGCCAGGATGCCGATCTTCCAGGATCTTCCAGCCCAACAACAGTCTGAGTTGCTGGCCGAAGCGCAGGCGCTGGAATCGGAGGCAGCGGAAGCCAACGCGGCCGGCCGCGCGTCCAGCAAGGTGTGGCCCGAGACGGTGTTCCGGCTGGATAATGGGGGACTGGCGTTCTTCAGCCAATTGGGCGTGGTGCGCCGGCCCGACCTGACGCAGTACTTCGTCGAAGGGTTCACCCGCAATCGGGACGCCCTAGCGTTCTCGGAGGATAACCAGCGACTGTTCACCGAGGTATTTGACCGAGTTTGCGAGAAGATGGAGGCCCACTTCGCCAGCGGAGAGGGCATCGTGCAGACCGACCGGCAGATTTGCGACGCGCCAGGTCGGTCTTTTCATGCGCGGCAACTGCTGTTCGGGACACGATACATGCAGGCGCCCTACATGTGGCGCAGGCTCACCTTCGACCTGCCCCAAGAGCAGTGGCAGGAAGCGCCGGACATCCTGGAGGTGTCGGTGCCCCACTGGATGGACGACCTGGGACTGGAGGACGATCTGAAAACCCAGTTGCGGGAGGCTGGCATCACGCAACTGGTGTTCAAGGCGCCCACGCGCGGTCTCTCGCTGCACTTCGGGTTTGACTACGTGGGCGAGCACAAGATGGGGCCGCTGTCCATCGCCATGCACCAGGTTAAGCAGAAAAACGGCCTGGCAGTACAGGCGGCGCTGAGCATGGCGCGCGTGCGCAAGCTGGACGGGGACATATCCAATACGGCGCTGGTTACCGTGGGTCCGTCGCTGCACGGCAAGAGCACGCTGACGATCATGGTGGAGCTGGCTAACAGCGAGTTGGCCGGAGTGCTGGAGCTGAAAACCGACCCCGAGGAAGGGGTCTACCCGATGAACGACGACATCGTGCTGCTGCAACCGCTGGATGATCCCGTCCCGAGCAACCGGGGCGGGCGGCGCGCGATGATCTCCCACGCCATCGACGGCACCGAGAACAACTTCTACGCCGTGCCCTTCGGCCTGACGCGGGATGACGATCCCATCACCTATGACGTGTTGCGGGGTGCGCCGGGGGTCACTTCCCCCGACGAGACGCTGGAAAACGTGCCGGTTCACGTGGACAGCCAGGAACCCAACTACCTGGAAAACCCGGTCCGCAACATGCGGATGATCCTGTCGCGGCGCGGCCTTTTGCAGCGCAAGGGCGCGGCGGGAATCATTTCGAAGATCACCGGTGGCCGGTTGAACGATTCCGTGCACGTGCCCATGGAAAACACGGACCGGGTGTTCTGGCAGGAGGTGATGCGGCAGAACACCGTGATACCGCCGCTGCGCCGGCTGAGCCTGGAGCAGTACATCCGGGTGCTGATGTACGGCGAGGCGGTGCAGATGGGAGCGGCGATCGGCGCCATCGGCCGGCCGTACGTCGAGTATTTCTCGGACCCGTTCATCATCGGCCTGGAGGATGAGAACGCCAACCTGTTGTACCACGTGCTGCAGCAGTTGGCCTGGGGCGGCATGCCCCAGGAGTATTACGCCTTCAACACCGGCGGCGTGGGCGCGGACAGCAACGAGGAGGCATCCGGTTCACGTTACCGGAAGATCCCCGAGAGCTGACGATGATGCTGCAGGAAGCGTTGTTGCGGAACGCGGTCAAGTTCGAGTACGACGGCATGCTTCGCTCGGACGTGGCCGTGGCCATCTTGGATGCGGACGGCAACGAGGTGGTTGACCTGCGCCAGGGGTGGCTGCCGGTCAACATCTATGGGGAGGAAGACTACGCCGAGCGTGTGGTTGAGCTGATGCGACGACGATATTACGGCCGGGACCAACAGGACAAGGCGGGCATTCTGCGGTACACCAAGGTGGTGAACACCATCCTGGACATCACCGATGCCCCCGCGCCGGTCAACGAGCGTGAACTGTCCTGGCTGCTTTCGTTCTACTGGTCGTTGGACCAGGCGTACGAGACCCTGTCGGAAGCGGCCGCACACCGCGCCGAGGGGATGCGCCCAGTGTCGTACCAACTGGGGGAGATACAGCGGAAGCTCGATGCCGGATTGGCGAATGGGTTGTCCATAAGCGATGCTGGACGGCAAAGCCTGGCTGGGCTGGGGCTGCGGGCGGGGTAGGTTGCTGCTACTCCTGGCGTTCCACTACCACGGCCACGGCCGTTACCCGGTATCCGCAGCACCCGATCCCGTGGACCCTGCCGCAGACAGTGAGTAGACGCTTGAAACAGTCGAATCGGGGCGAGTAACCATGGCAAGTGACAACATCCAAATACTTGGCGCCGTGCCGCCACAATACACGGACGTTTTGAGCGATGACGCGCTGGAATTCGTGGCCGAGTTGCATCGCAACTTCGAGACCACCCGGCGGCGGCTGATGCAGGCTCGCGTCCGCCGGCAGGCGGAAATAGACGGCGGCGCGACGCCGGACTTCCTTGCAGAAACCCGGAGCGTCCGCGAAGGGGACTGGCGCGTGCAACCTGCGCCCGCCGACCTCACCAACCGGCGGGTGGAGATCACCGGCCCATCCTCCAACCGGCGCATGGTGATCAACGCGCTGAACTGCGGGGCGCAGGTCTACATGACCGATTTCGAGGACGCGCACTCGCCGGCGTGGCTGCCACGCTTGACGGCCAGACGAACGTGCGCGACGCCTACCGACGCATCATCAGCGACGAAGCGGCAGACGGGAGGCAGTATCGCCTGAACGAAAACATCGCCACCCTGTGCGTGCGGCCCCGGGGGCTGCACCTGATGGAGCGGCACGTGTTGGTGGACGGCGAGCCCGTGGCCGGCAGTTTCTTCGACTTCGGCCTGACGGTCTTTCATAACCACGTGGCGCAGCAGAGCCACGGAACCGGCCCTTACTATTACCTGCCCAAGTTGCAGTCGTACCTGGAGGCGCGGCTCTGGAACGACGTTTTCAGATACGCCGAGGAACGTTTGGGCATCCCGACCGGAACGATCAGCCCGACGGTCCTGATTGAGCACATCCTGGCGGCGTTCGAGATGGAGGAGATCCTGTACGAGTTGCGGGAGCGGCCGGCCGGCCTAAACCTGGGCCGTTGGGACTACATCTTCAGCGTGATCAAGGTGTTCAATGGGCGCAGCGATATGGTGTTCCCCGACCGGGCGCAGGTGACGATGGCGACGCACTTCCTGACGTCGGCGGCGCATTTGCTGGTCAACACCTGTCACCGCCGGGGCGCGCACGCGTTGGGCGGCATGTCGGCGTTCATTCCGCGCCGGGACGATGCGGCGGCCAACGAAGCAGCCTTCGCCCAGGTGAAATCGGACAAGCAGCGGGAGGCCGACCAGGGCTTTGACGGGGCTTGGATCGCCCACCCCGGGTTGGTCGAGCCGGTGCTGGACGTGTTCCAGTCGGCGTTCACGACCGACAACCAACTGTCGGTGATCCCCGAAGTGCGGATCGCTCCGGACGACCTGCTGGCGGTCCCGGAAGGGCAGATAACCGAGGCCGGTCTGCGGAACAACGTCAGCGTGGCGTTGCAGTACATTGACGCGTGGACTCGCGGTAATGGCGCGGTTGCCATCTACGGGTTGATGGAAGATGCCGCCACCGCCGAGATCTCACGGTCCCAGTTGTGGCAGTGGCTGCAGCATGGCGCCGCCCTGGATGATGGCCGGCCCATCACCACCCAGCTGTATCGCCAGGTGCGGGCGCAGGAGGCGGCGGCGCTGGTGGAGCAGCGGGGGCAGGACAATCCCGGCGCGTTGGACAAGGCGGTGGAACTGTTGGACGAAATCGTGCTCTCCGACCAGTTCGTTGAATTCCTGACGCTGCCGGGCTACCGGTATTTGGACTAGGATGCCGGGGCAGCCACGATGGCTACGTCTCCGACCATAACGGATCCCACAGTCGTCGAGACAGACGAGGTCGTTGAGTTGAAACGGCCCTTGTCCATCAACATCCAGGCCCATTCTGGAATCGGTGGCCGGCAAGCTGACCGACGACGAGATTGACCAGTGGTTCGTGGGTTTCGCGCGTGCCAACGAGGGGCGGGGATTTTATCTGGAGATGACCGCCGAAGGGGAGTTAACAGTACATCCGATGGTCAACATGGATAGCGGCAATGCAGAAGTGGAAGCCGTCACGGATGTGACTGTCTGGGCAAGGGAAAATGGCGGAATGACTTTCAGTTCCCGCACAATCGTCCGCTTGCCGGATGGAACGCGCACGGAGCCGGACGCATCGTGGCTGTCTCCGGAGCAACTCGCATTGCTGGGTCCGATTTCATCCAGAGCCATCACCGTTTGTCCGGCGTTCGTCGCAGAGATAATGTCGGGCACGGATACCCTGCCGCGGTTGCAGCGCAAGATGGAGCGCTACATCGCCAACGGGGCGCAGTTGGGATGGCTGATCGACCCGTACCACCGGCGAGTGCACGTATATCGACCTGATGTCGAGATCGAGGTGCTGGAAGACCCGGAGACCGTCAGCGGCGATCCGGTGATGACCGGGTTTGTGTTTGAGGTGCGACGAAGGATATTCTCACTGCACGAAACGGCTGCGGAGTAATACGGCGAGAGAACATGAAAGTCCATCTCGTCGACGGAACTTTCGAACTGTTCCGGGCTCACTACTCGCCGCGCCCCGGGCGCGCCACTCCCGACGGACGGGACATCAAGGCGACCCACGGGCTGGCGCAGTCACTGATCGCGTTGCTCGGCCAGCCTGATGTAACGCACATCGCGGCGGCGTTTGACAGCGTGATCCGCTCCTTCCGCAACGATTTGTTCGACGGCTACAAGACGGGCGACGGCGTGGAGCCGGACCTGCTGGCGCAGTTCCCCTTGGCCGAGCAGATCACCGCCGCCTTGGGCATCACCGTCTGGCCGATGGAGGTGTTCGAGGCGGACGACGCCATCGCAACCGCCGCCGTGCGGTTCGCAACGATCCCCGATGTGGAGCAGGTGGTGATGTGCTCCCCCGACAAGGATATGTCGCAGGTGGTGTCGGGCCAGCGGGTGGTGATGCTGGACCGGCGGAAGGGGGAGGTCATCGACGAGGACGGCGTGGTGGGCAAGTTTGGTGTCCCGCCTTCCGCCATCGCGGACTACCTGGCGCTGGTGGGCGACTCGGCAGACGGAATCCCCGGCATACCCCGTTGGGGCGCGCGTTCCACCGCCACGGTGCTGACCCGATACGGCCACCTGGAGGATATTCCCGCAGACCTGGCGACTTGGGACGTCAAGGTGCGCGGGGCGGGCAACCTGATGGCGGCGTTGACCGGCCAATGGGAAGACGCATTGCTCTACCGCAATCTCGCCACGCTCCGGCTGGACGTGCCCCTGAGCGAGACCGAGCCGGAACAGTTGCGATGGACCGGGGCGCGCCGGCCCGCACTGGAAGAACTGTGCGGGTCGTTGGGGTTGGAGTCCTTGCTGGGACGGCTCCCTGAACCACCTTCGGAGTGAAGCTTTACCCCACGAAGTGATCCCGACGCGCTAACCGTCGGACGGGTCGGCGGGCGGCGGAACGGGGTCGCGTCGCCGGTACGCGTCCCAACGGCGATAACCGAGCACGGCGACGCCGGCGGACAGGAGCAGCACCGCCCCTAGCACCGAGGTGAGGGCAACGCGCATGGTGGCGTCGAACCAGAAGCCGGCGGGGAAGAGGATGAGCAGGTAGTCGGTGCGGGGATCGAGTATCCAGAGGTCGTTGGCGAAACTCAAGCGGTGGAAGAGCAGGAACATTTGCTCGAAGCTGGCGAGGGCTGCCAGACCGACCGCGAAGACTGCAATCAAGGTTACGGAGCCACCCCGGATCGCCAACCGGATTGCCCGTGCAGACCATGCGCTCCGGTCCCTGCCGATCACGAGGACCATCGTGGACAGTATCCACAGCGCAGAGCCCAGCGCCACCAAGTAGGTACCGCGGACCAGGCGCTTGACGTCGTACATGTGGGCGATTTCGCGCTGGTTGAAAACCGCCTGCTCGACACCGTAGATGGGTGCGCGAACCGCCAGGGGTTCTACGGAGGTGTTGAAGTAACGGCGGAGTTCGGAGCCGATGTTTATCAGGTCGGCGTCGGAGATACCGGACCGGTGGGAGGTTTGATAGCGTTGGAAACCGTTGCGGTAGAGTCCGGAATCGTTGACGGCCCACGCCACGGAGCCGGCAACCAGGAAGAGAAGAACGGCGGGGATGGCCAGAACCTGAGCAGCGGCCAGCGCAGCAGCGGCGGACGGACGCCGGTTAGTCATCAACCGGGCGCTGGCGATGCCGGAACACGTCGGCCAATGGAACAGCGAGGCCGGGCAGCAAGGGGGTCGTCAGAGTGTCGGAGGACGTCAGCAGGCCTCTTGAAGAGTAGTCGCTTCCTCGGAGTTCCAACAAAAGGGCAGTGTCGTCGCGGGGATCAAATATCCAGTATTCGGAAACACCGGCTCCCGCATAAATCTGTCGTTTGCGAACGAGGTCACGGTTGCGGTCGCGCGAAAGGATTTCCACCACCACGTCAGGTATACCTTCGAGGTATCCTCCCACGATGAGATTAGGCCGTCCCGAGAGGACAATTGCCAGGTCGGGCACCAGGATATAGCGCGGCTCCCTCGAGAAGACGGTGACGGGGTCAACATAGACCGCAGCCGGAGGCTGCGTGAAGCTATCGATGTAGTTGGCAATGTGCAAAAACAACTGGGCCATCAAGAACTGGTGGACGATTCGGGCTCTGGGCATGATGTACAGTTGTCCGTCGTCCAGTTCCATTTTGCGCCGGTCCCCGGCGTCGGGAATGTCCAGGAACTCAGCGACGGATATGCGTGTTCCGGTAGCGATGGGTTTCGTTGCCATGGCAAGCCTCCGATGGCGGGCTCAGACGGTAACAGATTACCGGAAGAGACGCAGGATGATCAAATGGACGGCGAAAGGCATGAAGCAAGGGACTGGGATATACTAGCATCGCTATGCAGAACATGAGTACATCTCCGATGAATTCGCCGATACCTGAAGAGCGCATTGGGGAGTTCCAGTCCCTGATCGATGTTGTGGCGCGCCTGCGGGCGCCAGGCGGCTGCCCGTGGGACGCCGAGCAGACCCACGAATCGCTGAAGCGCAACCTGCTGGAAGAATGCTACGAAACGCTGGAGGCGATCGACGAGGGCGAGCCGCAGGAGTTGGCGGAGGAACTGGGCGACATCCTGGTGCAGGTGGCATTTCACGCCGACATCGCCCGCGAGGCCGGTGAGTTCGACATCGCCGACGTACTGACGGCCATCAACCGCAAGCTCATCCGGCGGCACCCCCACGTCTTCGCCGATGGCGCCGCGTCTGACGCACGGCAGGTGGAGCGGAACTGGGAGCAACTGAAAGCGGAAGAAAGACGGGAAGCTGGCAAGCCGGAGCCGTCTGCCATGGACGGCGTGCCGGCGGCGCTGCCGGCGCTCACCGCGGCGCAACTGATGCAGGATCGCGCCGCCCGATTCGGGTTCGACTGGGCGACGTGGGTGGCGTTTTGGACAAGCTGGTCGAAGAGATTGCAGAATTCCGGGAGGCTGGCACACCCGAGGACAAGATCGACGAGTTCGGGGACGTGCTGTTCGCGCTGGTGAACCTGGCCCGCTGGTCCGGGATACACGCGGAGGACGCGCTAAGGCAGGCCAACGGCAAGTTCCGGAATCGCTATAAGGCGATGGAACGCCTGGCGTCGGAACGGGAGCAGGACTTTGTCGCGCTGCCCCTGGACGGCAAGGAAGCGCTGTGGCAGGAGGCCAAGGCGGCCGAACGGTAGAGGCGGGCAGGTCAGTCGTCGCCGGTGTGGGTCAGGGCATACCCCAGGAAACCGGGTTCCAGCATGTACATCCCGCCGGCAGCCATCGAGGCCAAGCCGGACAGAGCACGCCACTGAGTGCTGGTCCCGCGGAAGGGGGTCAACCGCTCCATGAACGGACGCTTCGGCCGGAACCTCCTGATCTTGTGACGGGCGCCGCTCTGCCGCATCGCCTCGGCGACCGCGTCGTCGAGGTTGCCCAGGCGGTCGATGAGTCGCCGGTCGCGGGCAGACGGCGCAGTGTACAGCTCACCGGTGGCGAGTTCGGTGGTCTCTTCAGTGGTCATGTTGCGGCTGTCGGCGACTACGGATACGAACAGGGAGTAGATCTCCGCGATCAGGTCCTGGAACTTGCCGGTCTCCTCGTCGGTGGGATGGCGCCAGAAGCCCGACATATCCTTGAGGTGCCCGCCCTTGAAGATGGAGATTTCGACGCCCACCTTGTTCAGCAACTGTTGCAGGATCGGGCGCATGTAGATCACGCCGATGGAGCCCACGAGGGCTGCGCGAGAGGCCATGATCGTGCCGGCTCCGCAGGCGATGTAGTAACCGCCGGACGCGCCCAGGCCGCGGATGTAAGCGACGACGGGTTTCCGCTGCGCGACGCGGCGGACACTCTCGTAGAGCAGGTCACTGGCGGTGGCCGAGCCGCCGGGCGAGTCGATGTCGAGCACCAGGGCGCCGATCTTGCGGTTGTTGGCGACGCGCTCCAGGATGCGTGAGTAGTCGGGCTCGCGAATGGCGGCGCCGATGACGCCGTGCATTTCGACGACGGCGATGCCGGGGCGGCGTTTGAAGAGGGGCATGGCTAGAGCACCTTTGGTCGCTAAAGGGATCGTTGGATAGATTATACATTGGGGGTATGCGTTCCCGGCGTGTTTGACAGTGGCCGGCCAGCAGGTCTAGCATCGAATCGGCACCCAGCGAGACGGGGAAGCATAATGACGGTCACCAAGATAAAACTGCAACACTTCACCGCGTTCAAGGACCTGGAGGTGGAGTTCTCGCCCGGCATCAACGCGCTGATCGGCGCGAACGGCACGGGGAAGACGCACCTGATGAAGGCGTGCTATGCGGCGTGCGCTGTGTCTAGGTCCGGTGACAATCTAGCGCACAAGCTAGTTCGAGTATTTCTCCCGTCCCGGCGCGATGGCTACCGATTGGCTCACCAAGGGTATGAGGGGGAAGGCATTAAGCTCGAAGTTCATTTTGGCACGGCAAGATTGGAAGCCTCCTCCGGGATTTTAGGCCTAGGGTCGGTGACCGTGCCGGCCGAACTGTCAGATCGCGCGATCGAATCAGCATACATTCCAGTAAAAGAGGTGCTGGCCAACGCACCCGGTTTTCTGTCCTTGTACGCGACTCGGGAAATTCATTTTGAAGAGGTCTATGAGGATATTCTGCTGCGCGTTTATCTTCCAGCTTTGCGGGAACCCGTTGATGATGCGCACGAGCGGATGCTCGAAAGCTTGGAAAACGTCATTGGCGGCAAAGTTACGGTCAGCGGCGAGGAATTCTTTCTCAGCAACGAACAAGGTGACATAGAGTTCACCCTGCTTGCTGAGGGCTGGCGGAAGCTTGGGCTACTATGGCTGCTGATCCGGAACGGCACGCTGCAGAAAGGCTCCGTACTTTTCTGGGACGAGCCGGAAGCCAACCTGAACCCCAAGATGTTTCGGGTGGTGATCGAGGTGCTGCTCGAACTGCAGCGGGCAGGGGTGCAGGTTTTCTTTGCGACGCACGATTACGTGATTCTGAAAGAGCTGGACCTTCAGATGACCGAGGAGGACCAGGTGGCGTTTCACTCGCTGTATCGGGATGAGGATGGCGAGATCGCGTGCCGCTCCACAGGGCAGTATCTGGACATTCACCCCAATGCAATTGGCGAAGCCTTTGACGACCTTTACGACCGCCAAATCAAGCGTAGTCTAGGCGGGTTCTGGGAATGACCACGCTAACGGAGGGGGGTCTAGAGATCTCCGTCAGTGGCACGATAAGCGTCCGCAAGTTCGACGACGACAGTCATGGGCTCAGCCACTGTATGAAAGCGGTGGATTTCATTATTGAACACCCCGACCGCTACATATTTGTCGAGTTCAAGGACCCTGATGCCGCGAATATCCCGCCGCAAGCTCGCGCGGAATTCGTGGAAAGCCTGCGAAGTAGGTCGCCGCGACGATGAGTTCAAATACAAGTACCGCGACACGTTTCTCTACGAATGGGCGGCTGGACGAGCAGACAAAGCCATATATTACTTCGTGCTGATTGCCCAGATAGATTTGAGCCCGGGAGATATGGTGCGCCGGACAGACGCCTTGGAGCGCATTCTGCCGTTGCGGCTACCGAGTTCGGTGACCTGGACGAGACCGATTGTCAGCGGCTGCGGCGTGTTCAATATCGATTCGTGGAACCGAACCTTTCCGGACTATCCGGTCCGACGGCTGCCATAGCTCGCGTTGCCGCAGGTAGCGCGGTGGGTTATTCTGGCGACTACCGACTGAGACAAGGAGTTAAGCCATGCAATTCGGCCTGTTCATGATGCCTTTGCATCCGCCGCACCGTTCCTATGCCGATTCCTACGACCGGGACCTCGACCTGCTGCAAGAGGCCGACCGGCTGGGGTTTCACGAGGCGTGGATCGGCGAGCATCTCACCGAGCGCTGGGAGAACGCGCCGTTCCCCGACCTGCTGATTGCCAAGGCGTCGGCGCTGACGAAGAACATCCGGCTGGCGACTGGTGTAACGTTGCTGCCCATCCACAATCCCATCGAACTGGCGCACCGGATCGCCATGCTGGACCACCTGACACGGGGTCGGCTGTACTGGGGCATCGGACACCGGGCGATACCCACCGACCTGCAGCTGTTCGGCATGGACCCGAGCCAGGGCGACGACGTGCGACGGCGGGCGGCCGAGGTGCTGGACGTGGTGCTGAGCCTGTGGGCGTCGGAGGGACAGTTCTCGTATCACGGGGAGTTCTTCGACATCGAGGCGCCGGAACTTGACCCGGTACTGGAGCGTGGGCTGCACATGAAGCCGTTGCAGCAACCACATCCTCCCATCGGGGTGGCCGCCACGTCCATTGGGAGCAGCAGTATCCGCCTGGCCGGGCGCGAGGGCTACATCCCGATGAGCAGCAGCAACCTGGCTCCGCAGTACCTGGCTGACCATTGGACCACCGTGGAGGACGCCGCGGCCGAAGCCGGCCGCGAGGCTCACCGGTCCGACTGGCGCATCGGGCGGGACGTGTTCGTGGCAGAGACCAGCGACGAAGCCCGCGAGCGGGCCCACGCGGTGCTGGGCCGAAACTACCTCCAGCACCAGTTGCCGAACCGACTGGGATCAGGGCTGATCCAGGCCACGAAGATCGATCCCAACATGAGCGACGACGACCTGACCGTCGACTACATGATGGAGAACATCTGGATCGTCGGCGACCCAGACGAGTGCGCCCAACGCATCCGGCAGCTCTACGATGGCGTGGGCGGTTTCGGACACCTGTTGTGCATCACGCAGGACCCCGACGACCACCAGTGGGAGATGGACTGCCTGCGGCTGATCGCTGAGGAGGTTGCGCCGAGGGTGAGCGACTTGACGGGGGAACCGGCGTGAGACGGGAATCGCCGCGACCGTGGCAAATGGGGGGCTGCCTGAGTGCAGCCCCTAAACATCGGCGTATTGCGGCGCCTCGTGGCGTATGATCGTTACCCCCAATTGCGCGGCGACTTCGTCCATTTCGTCCGGCCAGTGGTGATGCGTTACGACGAAGGCATTGGCAGGGACACCGGTAACGTTTGAAATTATGCCGGCTCGGCGAGCGGCGATTTCCAGATCGCTCCGGTTGAAAGTGATCGACACTTCTACGATGGCGAATTGGCCACTTTCAGAAGTGTCACTTTTGGCACGGGCAATAATGTCTGGCCTGAGACCATCCAAGAAGTCCTGCCGACTGATCAAATCGTGGTGTCGATGCTCTCCTAAGCGTTCGTTGATGCGTTCGCGGTCGGCGAGCACCGCGCGTTCCATACGGCCGTCTAAAATTGCGGCGATCTCGCGTCGGCAAAGATTCTCGTAGGAGTCTCCGAGCAACGCACCCACGGAGCCTTGGATGCTCCTAGTGAGGCGGATGTTTTCATCAAGGCGTCGATTGGTTCCGTCCAAGCGTTGGGTGTTTTCATCAAGGCGTCGATTGGTTTCGTCTAGACGTTGGGTTTGTTCATCAAGGCGTTGATTGGTTCCGTCCAGACGTTGGGTTTGTTCATCAAGGCGTTGATTGGTTCCGTCCAGACGTTGGGTTTGTTCATCCAAACGTTCGTTCACAGCACGGCATTGTTCTCTAGTCCGCTTGAAATCGCAGGTCTCCGCGCATTCCTGCACTTGACCGGGCAGGCAGCAGAAAATCCCTCGGTCAGGAGGATGTAAGGAGGGAGAAAATGTACCGTACTGGGCGGCCCGATCGCCGACTTCGGG